GAAGGTACCTAGAAAATCAACCAGTTCCTCCTGCATAGTCATCCTAGTGTGAGCTTCTCTGTACCAAAGTGATTGGCTACAGATCAAGGGCTGCCAGGGGTGACCAGCTTCCAGATGGCAATTTGCCACACATGGTTTTCCACAATGAGGGATGCTCTCACGCTACTCAGGTGAAGGGGGCAGCTTGGTGCAGATCTCTATCCTAAAGTTCTGCCACCACTGCTCTGTCCCACGTCCATTCAGTCCATTCATCCAACCTGTACTTCCTTAGCTTGCTCGTGAGAATGTGGGGGATCGTATTTGTGCACTGGAATCCCTGCATCTACAAAGCCAGTCATCTCATCCTAGAAGGCGATCAGGTTGGTCAGGCATGACTTGCCCTTGGTGAATCCATGCTGCCTATTCCTAATCACTTTCTTCTCCTCCAAGTAATTAGAATGGATTTCTTGAGGATCTGCTCCATGATCTTTCCAGGGACTGAGGTATGGCTGTAGTTCCCTGGATTCTCTTCCTTCTCTTTCTTACAGAGGGGCACTATATTTACCCTTTTCCAATCATCTGGGACCTCTCCCAAACATCACAAGTTTTCAAAGATAATAGAAGTTCTGCAGTCACAGCAGCCAACCCCCTCAGCATCCTCAGCTGCATCACATCCAACCCCTTGGATTTGTACACATCCAGCTTTTCTAAATTGTCCCTAACCTGTTCTCTCACCACTCAAGGCATTGAGTATTTCAGCCTTTTCCACATCATCTGTCAGTTGGTTCATCATCATTTGCCTCCCCCATTTTGTAAGGGACCCACACTTTCCCTGATCTTTCTTTTGTTGCTAACATACTTTTGTAGCAGAAAGCCCCCTTTGTACATTTCCCTTCTGGACATGGATTCAACAGAAGCCCCTTCTTGTCAGCAACCCCTCCCCTTCCCTCCCCCACCCCATTTTGGGCATGTGTTTTCCTTCTCAGTGTTGACAGAGACCTAGCACACTCATTGCAGGGTGTGGCAAGACTCAGAGCAAGCCAGAAAGCTGAAGTGGCTTTCTGTAGGAGAAAACTAGAAACTACATCTACATATCAATGAAGCTCAGTGTCACTAAAGACAACAAAAGAACAAAAATATCCACTGCAAAGTCTGTAAATATATCCTGTGCTAACCTAACTCACTTACTCTCCCCAATAGCCTTTGATCCTCACTACCTCACATTGCATTTTTACATATTTCTCATGGTGCATTTTCATATTTCATCTGTCTCATCTTTACCATGGCATTTTGTATTTTATATGTTATACTTTTAAACTCTTAAGGAATGCACTCCCTGTAGAATGAAGTTACACCCTGGACCATTGTTAAAACTGCATTGAAATTGTAATTGTAAAGCGATAAAATCTGTTGAGTGAATGTGAGTGAATGATGATCATCAGTAGACAATAGCTTAGCCAAAGGAACTCCATTTTAAGCTAATCAAGCTAAAGAACTGATTCCTGGAACCGAGCACTCAACCTATGGACTATTTCTGTAACCCATGACAATACAGCCATTAAGTCAATAAGCCAAGGGTGGACTCTCAAAACTTCAGGTACCAGCAGGCAGAGTCCCCTGTGACTAACAGCTGTCAGGTACTACTCAAGACCCACATGGGACAGCAACCTCTGGACTGGGTAGCAACGATGATGCTGGGGGATCAAAGGCAGTGAAGCATGACCCACGGTGGTGCCCTCTCATCCAGTATCTGACCTACCGAGACAGAAAGACAAGCAGGCAACTCCCTTCTGGAGAAGACATTACCTTGAAAGAAGCTGACCATCAACAGCAGACTCCAGGGCCTCAGATAGGTAGATATACTGACACCAGTGCTCACAATCACTACAGCAGCCACCACACACTATGCTACATGGGTTTGAATGAGTGAGTGCATATGTGTGTGTGTGTATGTGCTAAGGTGACTAGTACCACCCATAACTCAAAGTTTGCATTTATGATTTTATTGGTAACTTCACATCCTGTTGAATAAACTAGAATTTATTACGATCCTATGAGTTGGTCCTTTGTAGCCAACACTTTCAGAAACTCTTCTGAGTTTCTAAACTCTTTAACAGGATCCTTTCATGTCCTTTGCTAGCTGCAACTCCAGTTGAGCTTTGGCTTTCCTGATTTCATCCCTGCATGCCCAAGCAATACTCCTTTACTCCTTCCTAGCTGCTTGTCCAAGCGTCCACTTCTTTTAAGCTTTTTGTGTTTTAGATCACTGAAGAGTTCCCTAAAACATTACACATTCCCTTTCAAATGTGTTAAAGACAGGAGTGTCTGCACATTAAGGCAGGAGAAGATGAGCTAAATACCCTCTGAGACTATCAAAGTTAATCATCTTCAGGCAAGGATTATCTTCTGCTTATGCTAGGCCAGGGGTCAGCAACATTTCTGAGCAGGGTGCCAGAAACACCTGCGAGATGTTTTTGGACTTGTAAGATGTGGACATGCCACAGCCAGGTGGTGTGGGGAGCCATGAGGGCCCAATCCTTGTTGTGGAAGCACAGCCCCAGCCCCTGCCCCACAGTTCACCCCAAGGCATGTGTGCCAAGCAAAATGCCTTTTCGTGCCATGCTCTGGCACCTATGCCAGGGGTTGCTTAACACTGTGTTAGGTGCTTGTGTTGATGTAATGTCAGCCTGCTACAAAGCTAATACCAGCAATTTGTAGTCCTCCAGTATCCCAGGAGGCACTGCTCCAAGCCCTTGCCATCTGGACTAGCTAACTTCCCATAATCTTATGCCCTGGATTGACAGCTGGGGACAACCATGGATCTGTGGGGAGAGGGAGAAAGGGAGAGGAAGGAGCTGCAGGGGAGGAAGAATGGGAGGGAAGAGGAGCAAGCAAGGATTGAGCAGAAGTCCCCCTGTCACCCCACACAGCTTGGATCACCTTCCCTACTGCCCAGATCAGTCCAAACTCTCCTACAAGAGCCACCCCTCCACTGCTCATATCACCTCCTGCCACTCCCTCCCCGGTAGTGAGGGAGTGATCTGAGTGGTGCAAAGCAATGCAGGGCAGCATGGGCCAATCTGGGCAACAGGGGAGGGTGATCCAATCAGTTTGGGCCAGCAGGAGGGCACAAGGGAGGAAATCCAATGGTGTGGAGAGGGGTGGGGGAGGGCAGGTGGGCCAATCTAGGCAGCAGGGGCAGAGGGAGAAATCCAAGTGTCCTCTAGTCCCTTTAACTCTGTCTCCTCCAGTTTATACTGCTGCTAGAGAGCCATCAAGCAGGGCAGGCATGGAAAAGACTTGGCAGCACCTAGCCATGCCTCTACTTGCTAGCCCTCTAGCACAGGTCAGAGATGTGCATTAGAGAGGGTGTTAAACGTTAATGTGCAACTTCCCATAGCACGTGCTAACTTTAACATTGCCTAACATTTCTTAGTGCAGGGATAGGCACCCCCTGGCACACATGCCAATTAGCAGCATGCAGAGACATTTTCCTTGGAAAATCTTCTTTAAAATTTTTTTTAAAAAAGGAAAATCTTAAAAAAAAAATGTTTTTTAAGTTGCTGCTCCAGCCTCTCCTGAGCAGCGACAGCTCCCAGCACCACAGCAGGCACCAGGGGTGGGGTCAGAAGAACACAGGCAGGGATGTATTGACACTGCCTGCATTCTGCTGACCTCAGTACTTTGTCTGTGGTGTTGCACAGGGAAATCTGCAAAATCAAAGGATCCTCTGGATGCCCCACTCCTGCCAGTTTTGCAAGTTCCACTGCGCATCCCTTCCCCCACCCCATGCTCACTCCTGATCAGCATGGAGGCAAAAACGGAGGTTTTAAATATGGTGCGTTTTTTGCCTCCTGGCCAGTCAGTAGACCTGTGCGAATAGAGAACTATTCAATTTGGATTTGGCCAATTCAGATGCCAGCAATTTGATTCAGAGATTCGGATCGCTTTTCTGATTCAATTCAACCAAATCGGCTTTGGAAGATTCGGCGCTGATTTGGAGAGATTCGGCCATAGAGTATAATGGGGAATCAATGAAATATCTATAATTTTGTCATTGTTTGGCTGATTCAGATGAAACTTACAGGGATGGTAGCCCCTGCTAAGGGCATGAAGCCTGCCAAGTTTCAAGGAGACAGGTGCAGGGGTTCCTGGGGAACTGCACCTCAAACTGCTGACAAGCAAAACTCGTGACATGGGTGACACTGTGTGTGTGTTAAGGCACAGGGGGGTGAAAATTGCAGTCCTGCCAGGCCCTGCTGCAGCCATGAAGCCTGCCAGCTGTCAAGGAGATAGGTTCAGGGGGAATCCGGGTTCGGAGCCCTGCACCTCTGGCCACAGGCAGGCAAAACTTGTGACATGGGTGCTTGTGTGACTGTGTCTGTCTTAGGGCACAGGAGGGTGAAAACTACTTCAGGCCTAGCTGCTAGGCCCTGCTGTGACCACAAAGCCTACCAGCTGTCAAGGAGATAGGTGCAGGGGGGTTCTTGGGCCCTGCACGTCTGGCTGCTGACAGGCAAAACTCGTGACATGGATGGGTGACACTGTGTGTGGCCTCTGGGCCCCCACTGCCTGCCCTGTGTGGCTGAGCCCACCCCACTCCTGCCTGCAGCACAGCCTCACTGGGAAGAGGCTAGTACCACCCCTGTCTCTAATCATGTGTGACTCATGGAGGGAGGCGGGCACAGGGAAGCAATCCTTCCTAATTTCATGTCATATGCAAGCTTACTCAGGATGCTCTGTCTTCCAAATCGTTATTGTAAAAATAGCACTTAATATCAGATTACTGTTAAACCACTTACAGAATTTCTTACAACTTGCAGTCTCAGTTTGTTTTACTTTAAAATATATCTGAATAGGGGAAATGGTAATTAAAAAGAGACAACACAAGTAGAAATGTGAAGATTTTATGAAGTAGCTCAAGTCACAAAAACTGAAAATGTATTGTGGTCAAACTTTGTATTAAACATTGAACAGAAATTTCATTAACAGTTTGCTTCATACAGCAAATAATCCTCATGTCAAATTTATGGTAGGCAGCAAACCTGTACTTAGACATTATCACTTTTTTTAGCTTAGAACTGTCATGTGAGGGTTTTTTAGGTCTAGTGTTGTGTGTAAAATCATAATAAATTATGGCAATGCTAACTGTATACGGTGTATGAAATGTACGTTTGAGTTGGGGGAGTTCACCTCTACAGAAAATACTGAATTCACTCAATGCTCCAATTTATTCTAAAATTCCAAGACAACTTCAGTCAGTTGTTACATACATCCTTTACAGGACAAGATGTGCTGAATCTCCACTGAATCTCCATGCATGGCATATTCTCCTGCAGTGGGGGAGAAGGAGTGGGGACATAGAAAGAAAACCTGAGTGTTGCTGAATAGCAATTAAAAGCCTTGCCTCAGTAGGGCATATTGTCTAAGAACCCAATACAGCAAAGTAACTGAAAACACTGGGTGGCATTCCATAATCCCTGTAGGTGTCTAAAAATAGGGGAGCCTGAAAAGACTATGTGAGTATCTAAAATCAGTGGCATTCCATTGGTTTCTGCGGGCACATCTACACAAGATGCTGTTATGCACTGGTTACTATGCATTTATTTAGTACTTGTATAATCACGTACTAAATAAATGTGCAGTAACTGGAGTTACTGCACAGTAGCAATGGTGAACACCTTTTTAGTGATGGTACTGCAAAGTAGCCTAATAATACTGCGCAGCAGCATTTCAGCACTGTTTGTGCTGTGATGCGCTACTGCACAGTATTATTCAGCTACTGAACAGTTAATGTCTTGTGCAGGCGCACCCTGTGGAAACCTAAGTGCTCCTGTTTTAAGTAGAGGTGCCCATCTAGGTGCCCACAAGACAGAATGCTTTGTATGTTTGCAGGTGAGTGTCCAAGGGTCCACCAATCTGTGTATCTGTTCACCCACAGGGGTGATGGGAGGGCACTGTTTCCTGTGGGCTCCCCTCCCTCCTATTCCTAATTGCACATAGGAAACTGTACAGAGCCCCTCAAATGCACAAAGGAAGGCAAGACACTGCCTGTACAGGAGTTGAAGCTAACTAGGACCAAAAATGGCTATGTAAACAGCTGGACTTAACTGGCATTCTCGTACCATATGGACATGTACATCTCCAGAATACCAAACTGCTTCCTCCACTCTCATCCCTGCCTTTTTCAGATACTTGCATTCTGGATGACCAGAGTTGAGGCCCACACAGCAGGATCTCAGTGCCATGAAGTCCAGCCCCATTCTCAGGCTCCCCTTAAAGGGGTTAGCATGCAGGCTGCACACACAAGGCCAACACAACCATGACGGGAGCAAAGGTAGCTCAGGGGAGGGTCAGGGAGTAATGGAATGCCTCTTTTACCCCACAGAGGTGCAGACCATAAATGCAGTTCATGCCCTGCACTTGGGGGGGTGACAGTTTTTGAGACTCCCCCTCAATTTAGTGCGACTGCCTGTGGGACAAATTGCAGCAATGAGTCAGCTCTGTGGGGGATGTGGACAATCAGTGGAGTTCATCCAAATGAAGTGGAGGGACTTAGGGCAGTGGGTAAGGTTGCATTTCCTCAAGAAGAAACACCTCCCTCCCCATTCTAGCGCCCTTCCACCCAGAGCTGCCCTCAAGTTCCTTCTCAGCTTCCCAATCCTGCCAGACTAGGTGCAACCTGTTTCCACTCCTTGCCTGCCTCCCCAGTCTGTCCCTACCCTCTCCCTGCTTTCCCCTGTAGCTAATCTCCCTGGGGCCACTTCAGTTGCCTCTCTGTTGTGCCTGGCATGCCTCCCTGCCACTCCCCTACAGGCGGTCATGGGCCCAGCCCGTTTCCTACAGGCAGCCATTGCCACCTATTCCCTCATTGAATTGGCTCCCACCTGCACTACAGGCAAAGTCCCTGTAATCATGCTCTGAGTATGAATACATTTTTCTAGCCGTGCAGGGCTATATGTGGCTAGAAACATTTAACAGAATGCCTCTAGCTGGGTACAGCCTCTTCATGGCTAGGAACAGCTGATCACAGAGATGTGCAGCTGGCTCACATGGCTATATTTAGTTGCATCTGGGACTGCCACACCTAAATCCTCACAGATGGAGGGAGATGATAAGGAATAAAATTTAAAACTTTGATTTAGCCAGCTAAATGACATACACATGTAATTTACATGGCTAAATTGTCTAATAGAATACCACCCATTGTGTTCGCAAAGATCTAAACCCATGGTTAGGAATTTTATGACTAGGGGCCCAAGGGAGGACTAAAGATCAGACCTCCCCATGATACTCCATAGTAATTTTTTTTACTATTTTGGTACCCAGATCCATACCACATATATAAAGTATTTAAGCATTTACAGGAACAGGAATTAGAACCCTAGCGTATCTCTCTTCCTCCACCCACCCCTCCTAGCCTCACTGAATACCAGTAGCTATAAAGTCATACACTCACTCTCTAACCCAGTAACCATTTTATTTCACAAGAAATCTAAAAGAACTTAGGGCCTTGTTATACCATATGCTGTGAGCCACATAAATGTTGATTGGTGTTAGTGCTAGCTTGGACTTTGGAGCAATCACACCCTTAGTCAAGAAACCTTTACTGACAGTCCCACACCTGCACTGCTGTGACTTGCCATTGGTGAGCTCGGGCAGGACTAGGAGCTGTGAGTTGTCACTAGGGGGCTGGTGAGCTAGGACAGGCTCTATGGGTTGGGGTGTGAGAGATCTTGAGATACAGGAGGACCTCATCTTGGGTGGCACATCTGTGGGGAGCAGCTACCCCTTAATGGACCAGGAGGTGGGTAGTGCAGATCAGAGATAATCCTGCCCTTGAGGGGTATAACTCTGAGCTGCATAGCAAGTGCTTAAAATCATTTTAGTAAGATGTTAATGTGTGGACAATCCAGGGGTTAAGAGCTCCAGGAGCTGCCCAAAATTACTGTGTAACAAGGTCCTAAGAGAGTCTCAGCCTAGAACACCCCATAACAGTGGTTCCCAAACTATGACAGATTGCGCACCACCAATTTAAAACGATACCACCAGCAATTTTTTCAGTTCAACCTTCAGTACAACCAGCAAAATTTTTGTCATATGAAGTAAATATAATAAATCTATTAATGTGTACCAATGACAGCTTGTCTGTGTACCACTGATGGTACACGTACCACAGATTGGGAACCGCTGCCCTATAATTTTACAGATTAGATTACTTTCCTGAGGAAAAAGGAAATAGGGTTGAAGTCTCTTCAGAGAGAAGAGGGCTCTGAATCTGCATTAGTGCTCTAAACACTGGGGGCACCTATACACATGCTGAACATCTGCTTTGATGCAGGCTAATAATAAATTTCTGGGCAATGATAGATTTCTTGTGGAATTTTAGTTTTAAAAATTAAAGATATTTTATCTTAATTATTAAACTCTATAACGGTAGTAAAAAAACCCCCCAAAACAATGTATACTACCAGCCACTTTGTGTAAAGTTATTATTTTTGTAAGCTGTAAACCAGGCAAGGATTCTGTGAACTGTTGTAATTATAGACCAATTTTTGTAATGAATATAGACACCAACATTCCAGCCAAACCTTTATCACACAGATTGGAACAGGTTCTCCTTCAATTACTTCACACAAATCAAGTAGGATTAATTAAAGAAAGGCATTATTCAGATCTTGCACATCGGGTTATTGATACAGTGGTAACAGAACAAAATTCTTAAATTCCCATAATTCTTTTAGCTCTTGATTCAAAGAAGGCCTTTGACTGTGGGCACGCACCGCATTAATGTGCATTAGCACAACTACACGTTCGCTAATGCGACTTAGCTAGTCATGAATAAATTTGATACCTGCTTTATGCAGGTATCAAATTTAGGCTCAAATAGCCTAAAATCGCCACTTTTAAGGTGCATTAAAGGCATGCACGTGTAGACACATGCCTTTAATGTGCCTTAAATTGGGCTAATGCACATTAAATGTACACGTGTAGACACGCCCAATGAACACAGGATCCTGTTTCAAGCAGACAACACACTAATATTTCTGCCAGTCTGGGGGATCAGTTCCTGCCCTCTCCTCATTAATCAACAATTTTAGCTATCTATCTGGTTATAAAATTAATTGGACTAAATCTGAATTACTTGTACTACATAATGATCCCACATGGAATATCCTTAGTAAATGGCAGTTTCAATAGCAATCAGAACATATAAGTTATTTGGGTATTAAAATATCCAAGAATATTAATGTTACTATCTACCAAAACTTTCAAGAGATTCTCAAAATTATATTACAGGTTCTGAACAAATGGCGCAGTTTGACAAAATTCTTGGGAGCAAATGTGAATATTTAAAAAAATGAATACTGTACCTCATCTAATTGATCTATTACATAACCTACTAATTGTAATCCCAAGTCAGAGGCACAGAAAACTCACTGTGCAGATGGGGCAGGGAGTGGGGTGCAGGCATCTGCTGACCACTACAGACAGGGGGAGGGGAAGTAGAGGCAGGGAGAACATGGATGCGGGAAGGGAAGGTTTATCTTCGCAGGTTCCCATTGCCATTGCCATTCCCACTGCTACTCCCACTTCTCCCTGCAGGTGCCAGGAGCCAATCAGCTCCAGGACTGAGGAGCTCTCTGCCCCCTGTCCTTGATCCCAGTTCCCAGCACAGAGCTGGCTGCTCTGGGGAGTAGGCAGGAGCTGGAAACCCAGCTGCCACCTGCCCCACAGAGCAGCTTTGCTTCCACCCACTCCCTGGAGAAGCCAGCTCCACACCATGCAAAGCTCCTCTTGGAGGCAGGGTTCCCAGCCCCAACCCATACCCCAGAGCAGCCAGCTCTGTGCCAAGCAGGGCAGCTGCCAGTGATCCCTGCCTTCCTTGCTCTACCCCCAACCTCGCAGAAGTCTTGCCAGCTGCTGTCCCACACCCAGGACAGCTCCCAGCAATCCCTCTGGTGGGCAGGGAAGCCCTGCTAGTGGGGGCTTGCTGGCAGCTCTGTGTCCTGATGGACACAGGGCCAATAGAGCTCTGCCCACTGCAGGGACAGCTGTCACTAGGCCCTGTGCCCCTTGCCCTTGCCAGCCCCAGGCTGGCACCCCAGCGGAGGCCTGGAGCTCCCCCTGGCTGCTGTAGGGGGGCAGAGCAGGGCAGGAGCAGCCCTGTACCAGGCTGCTCCCTTTAGGAGTAAATTTGCTCCCAACAGGACACCTGTGTAAATGTGCTCCCAGGGAAGGTTTACTGTGCAGTATTTTACTGTACAGTAAGCCTACTGTGAATTAATAGCATGTGTAGACATGCCTATTGGGTGCAGAGATGCACCTGCTG